CTTACCATAATTTTTATAAAAATATAAATTGCCTTACTGATATTTTTAGGATTTTATTACTTTAACGCTGTTACACTGATTGTACAGAATTACAAGAAAGTAACAATACTGGTGCTGCCTTTAAAAAAATGTCCATACAAACGACTTTTTTATGCTGAACATTTTCTGAAAAAATCAAAACTGTAAACCATCAGAAAGCATTGTATATTTGATGGAATAATAACTTGCATTTATGTTTGAAAATATGCAAATTTCTTTTGCAGTTCGGCTCTAATGGCCAATTAGAAAGTACAGATTCTACTCTTCATGCAATTAGCACTTGTTAATTTGTGGTAATTTTTATGTACCCTGATAGTAAACATCAACGTTACAAAACTTAGAATTTTTAAAATTCATATTATATTAAGGTAAATCGCGGCAGCTTTAAATAACACTGTCTCTAGTCAATGATTATCAAATATTTTAAAAATATATTAAAATAAAAATACAAACATAATTAACAAAGTTTATAAAAACAGATTTTCAGTTTATTTTTATTATCAATAATAAAGATGATATAATCTAGTTTTATTTTAAGTTTTATAAGTTTTTAAAACTTCTTTTAAATAATATAACACTGCCATAATCATCAATTAATTTATAGTATATTATTAGTCTAAAGTTAAATGTATATATTTTAGTAACTTTTCTTTTTATAAGGAGTCTGAGCCATCATTGAATGAGATTTCGTTCACCATGAACACTGGAGAACACTTTATTGTTGTAGGTCCTGTTGGATCAGGAAAGGTAAATATCTCGTTTTTTCAGTTTTACATTTTAAATGAATTACATGCTATGTGATTTTCAAATTGTTTAATCGCTTTAGTTCCCAGCAGTTTTTAATATTAATGTAATTAAACATAAATAATACTTAAAACTGAAAAAAACAAAAGAAATGCTTAATTTTGAAGAGAAAGCTTCGAAGATTAACTTCCTTTGTCTCATCTTTTTGTGAAATTTGACACTGGGAGTCATTGTTTACACAGCTGGATGACCTTGAGAACAGCTGGTGTCGGATTTCCCGGGACATTCTCATAGGTGTCTCGGGAGGACAATGGTTTAAAGTAGGGTGAATACTAGCTAGGTGTATATTTTTTAATATTTTTAAAAAATTCAAATTTTTATTCTAATTTCCGACCCCCATATTCCGAGATATCTCTGGCAAGTTACATAGCGTTACATAAAACGCTGTACTTAAGGCTATTTTTAAATTTTTTTTTCAATTTTTGGAATGTTTTTTAAGTTTCCAAATTTTTTCAAAATTTTTTCCCGCGCGAAAAATTTTATCGCTATTTTAGTTTACCTTTAATGACGCACGCTTCACGCTTAATTGCTTTTTAATAGTCTTTTAATGGGTGTTTAATATCAAATTTCATTCATTGTTCTAAAGTTGTAGTGCAAAGATTTTTTCTGGTAAAGTTATTTACGGCTAGTTTCTGATGTCAAAAACGACCTCCGATAGTTTTTTAATTTTTTAAATTAATAAGTTTTACTATATATAATTTTAATTAAGTCAGGGGGTCGGAAATCGCAATTAAAATTTGAATTTTTAAAAATATTAAAAAATATATGGTTAGCTGGTATTCCCCCTACTATAAACCCATCGCTTTTCGAGATTTCTATGAGAATAACCCGGGAAATCGAACTCCAACTGTGTTCAATGTCATCCAGCTGTGTAAACAATGACTCATCAGTGTCAAATTTCACAAAAATGGGAGACAAAGGAAAATAAAATTTGCAGCTTTTTCTTCGAAATTACGCATTACGTTCGTTTTTTCAGTTTTAAGTATTTTTTATGTTTAGTTACATTAATATCAAAATGTCTGTGTACGCAAGGAGTTAATTAAACATAAAATGTTAAGGAGTTAAAAAAACATAAATTGATTTTAAAAAATCAATTTATTAAAAACAATTCAGCGTTAATTGTGCATCATTAAAAGTAAATGAAAATCGGATAAAATTTTTGCGCGGGTAAAAATTTTTGAAAAAATTTGGAGACCAAAAAACATCCCAAAATTGAAGAAAAAAATTTTGGGGGGGCGAAAGGACCGAGTTTTCTGTAACGCTATGTAACCTGCCCTAGTTAACTTCGGCAAGAATCTAAGGTATTTTAAAAAACAGTGGTGCATCGTACTTCTAATTTAATTGAGTCTAGGTGGCAGTTCAAAGTCCGAACCATTTTTTTCTGTTAAAAATAACGGAAATGGATTTCATTCATACCCGGATCCCGAACAATACTCATCTCCATAAAATTAAAACATCAGACACATTCTAATCAATATAAAATAACACAATTGCATTCCATAATAATAAATCAAAATACGAAAATAATAAACAAAATACGTAAATACTGTAAAATAAAATGACAATTGCATTAACAGCACATAATGAAATTCGATCTGTTATCCATTGTCGCCAGATCCACTCAAATGTACTGTACCTTTTTTACGTTAAGCGATAATTTCGTTCTTTACAGCAATTGTCGATATTATATGAAGGACTTTATTGCTTCCACACGCATCTCATTTGCAATGGTTCATAAAGAAATGTTATATTGGATGGAATATAAATAATAATACTTACATCGATTAATATAACATAATCAATAAATTACCAAACAATCGCCTAAATATCGGGCTATAATATGGCTAATTGAATGATTGGTATAAAGTAATTTGACATTAGAGGTATTCGTTAGGCGCCATCTCTTAAGTAAGTTAATAATTATAAATAAATATATTAATTAATTAATTTAAAACCTTCTGGAATAAAAGAACTGGCCTGGGATGGGGCTTGAACTTGCAACCTCTGCTTGCTGTGCAGTGCGCTTGCCAGTTACACCACCCGCCCCTGAGCGAGTCTTCGCTTCCAGAAGTATATTAGATTTGATACAGTAGACCCCCCTATAACATTTAAAAACGTTCCACGTTGTTCGAATTTTACATTGTAGGAATCATTAAAAACATGAGCCAATCGCAGCCCGACACGTGTGAAGTTTACGGACTAAGGCTGTTTGAAAGGTTTTCTTCTATAAAATTAACCGATTCTAGACTAATTCCACTCAACATTTCCAAAACACGTATAAGTTTTTGGGAATAATCTGTATAAACTATGCTATAAACAAAAAATTGTAGGATTACTTTCCGAGTGTGCACTATTTGACTACGCCGTTGCTTACCCTTGTTTTCGTCGCAGAGCAGCGCACCAAACGGCGGCCGCGTTATCTGATAAATTACTTTTCTGCGAAAAATTCGCTGAACTTTGGAGACATCATTAATAGAAATAATTTTTATGGCCGTTAAATAAGAAATGTTTCTTCAACAAGAAATGTATAAAATTACAGTACTGTATATTACTTTTAAAAAATCAATTTTTTAAAAAATATTTCCTAAAAATTGACGAAAAAACTTTATCGGTTAATTGTACATAAATAACCCCCGTTTTTTTGCCTGGACCGCATTTAATCAGAGACAAAGCTTTTATTTGTATTCTTTATTTATTTTCTATGCATTTCAGGTGCAATATTTTCTTGTAATTTGCACCCATTTTCAGGATTTTTACATTTCTATAAATTTGGTAAATTTAATTATTACATCGGTAAATTACTACAATAGTTATACAATGGTTAACTAACCTGTTTTAAGTTTTAGATCGACCTCTGCCCAGTGTTGATGTGATGTCCCCTAAGGCATTTTTAGACCGTTTCCCCCTCTTTTTGTTTTCTTTCCCTTTAGCTCCTCCCATTTCCTCCCACAGTCGTCAACCTCCATTCCATCATTTAGGTTTATGGTTTTGTTTTTATTAATGATTCCGAAGTGCTCTTTGAATTTTCGTAGATAAATATTTTTTTCTTAATGGATAATTTTTATACTTTTTTCGTTTATTCCTTACAGTGATTTGTCCATGGTAATTGGTTATAATTAAGTCTAATTGCTGCTTTATATTCTTTAATTCTGGTACCGAGTTGTCTTCCTGTTTCGCCAATGTATATTGCTGGGTTCTTACAAGTACATTTTATTTCGTATATTACACCTGCTTGGTTTAGTATTTCGTTATTTTTGAACTTATTGGTGTTGATGTTGTTTTTAATTTTATTATTTAATTTGGCTGCTAGTGTAACACCATGCTTTCTGAAAATTTTTTTGTATTTTTCAAATGTTCCCTTGATATGGGGGAACGATGTATATGTAGTGTTCTCATTCTTATTTTTAACGTTGAATCTGTTTTTCTTAAATGCATTTATCCACTTTTTTAGTAATCTGCTTGGATAGTCATTCAATATGAAGGTATTTATTAGTTCACTTTTTTGTTTTTCTCTTTCTTCTGCCTTAGATGTTCTGTTCCAAATTTTAGTTATTGCTGTTATAAATATGTTTCTTTTTACTGTAATAGGACTGTACGACTTATAATTAAGGATTTTGTCTGTATTGCTGCTTTTTTTGTAAGGCTTTATATTGAGTGAGTTTTTTCCACGGTTTAGAGTTATATCTAGGTAGTTAATTTCATTTTTTTTTAATCAAAAAAGACACAGTCTGCTCAAAATTTCTTTTTGAAACCACCATTTCTTCTGATCATGTGTTCCAGAACACCATCGACGACCGGACCTTTCTTTTATTATCATCCGGCGAAATTCTACAAGCAAAACTTTTTTAGAAATAAATCGTCACCAGAGGGATAAGACCAAATCTACATTTAACAGCGCATTTATCAAGTGGATATACAGGACTGAAATTCCCTAACTGGAAAGGATGCAAGTTTAAGACGTCTGTAAGACCGCCAGTTCCAATTCTTTACTTTTTAATGTTTTAATTGGATTTTTTGTGTGTTTTTAAAGGAATGTTTTAGCCAGATGACCTAGTAGCCTACAAAGAAAGGTCCGGTCGTCGATGGTGTTCTGGAACACATGATCAGAAAAAATGGTGGTTTCAAAAAGAAATTTTGAGCAGACTGTGTCTTTTTTGATTAAAAAATAAATTATCATCCGGCGAAATTCTACAAAAAAAAAAAAAAAAAATTTCATTTTTATTTTCTGTTTCACATTCATACTTCATGGTATTGCTTAGCGTGTTTGCATAGTTGTATATTATATTTCTGCTAGTTATTTCATTGTCGTATATTATTATGATATTGTCCACATATCTAGTCATAAATATTATTCCGTTTAGTTTTGCCAGTTTTTTATCTATTTCTTTCATGCATATTTCTGCCAGTTTTGGTCCGATTATTTTCCTCATGCTAATACCATTTTTTAAAAAATTGATTTTTTAAAAGTAATATAAAGTAAACCGCACCATGAATATATACATATCTATTACTTATAGCAGATAATTATAATAAACGTCATCGAAAAAGAGACAAAGCTCCATAATTTAAAAAACTTCAGTCAAGATGCAAAATAGACACAGTATTTTAAATATTTCTTAAGAGAAGAATCCACACCGAATACGTTATGCCTACTCAAGTCCATCTCAGTAAACATACAACGTAGAGATATATGGGAGATCGAGAGGCAAATAATAAAAGTTACAATAAAATTCAAAACTAAAAAACTATTCATATTAAAACGACAAATAAGAAGATTACAAGGAAATGCAGAACCAAATAAAGAATCAGTCTTACTTTCATAGGGAGGTCTTATATTTCGCAATTCAGCAAAACCTGTGCTAGGTCTTATTTTCTGCGGATGTCTTATTTTCGGGGAAACACGCTAGTATAGATATAAAAATGGACATGTATGTCCCTATATTTCACTTTTTCGCCAAAACTACACATCGCACGTGAATGGTGTTAGTATGTGATAGTAGCCCCAAGTCTCCATTCCTGCATAGGGGTGGTTGCGTCTCGATAGCTATAAGGGTGCGGGAGATATGGGCTTGAAAGTGGTTGAAAGTGGCTTTCTATTTCAAATGTTTTGTTCGAATTCGTTCGAATTTAATTCGAAACAAATTAAATTCGAATTTAATTCGAAATTTAATTCGAATTTCATTGGTTTAATTTGAACATAATTTGTTCGAATTAAATTCGAACATAAAATTCGAATATTGGTTCGATTATAGAACGATTGTAAACGTTCCAGAAACGTTGAAAATAGTTCGTTTGACTAAACGTAAAAATTCTCTAATTAGTCTGGAAACGGGGGACCTAATTCTTGCATTCTGTGAAAACGGGTAAGATTAGCTATAATGTAATTATCTTAATCTTCACTATCGTTACTTTTTGCCCAGCGAAGCGGGTCCTTGCAGCTAGATTCTAGATTACTTAAAAAAACAGTCTTTTATATATATAAAAAAACTATATTACATACAAATGTACGAACAAATAAAAACCCAGCGAAGCGGGTGCTTGCAGCTAGTCTATATATATAAATGGACGTGTGTGTCCGTATATTTCACTTTTCAGCAAAAACTACACATCGCACATGAATGGCGTTTGTATGTTGTAGTAGCCCCAAGTCTCTATTCATACACTATGGTGGTTGAGTCTCGATAGCTATAAGGGTGCGGGAGATATGGGGTTTAAAGTGGTGACTTCGAAGATTTTTCATTTCCATTCCAAAAGTTCGATCCGTTTTAAATTCGAATTTAAATTCGAATTGGTTCGATTATAGAACGATTGTAAACGTTCCAGAAAATTGATCAAATTGGAAATAGTTCGTTTGACTGGACGTAAAAATTCTCTAATTAGTCTGGAAACGGGGGACCTAATTCTTGCATTTTGTGCTATAAGAATGCCGGAGATATGGGGTTGAAAGTGGTTGACTTCAAAGATGTGTAATAATAAAAGTGTTAACAATGGAAGTGTTAAGAATAGAAATGTTAACAATGGAAGTGTTGAGTAACAAAGAAAGGGTTAATATAAAGCGGCATGCAAGATTTACAGGCGGATTTTTGCGATTTTGCGGGAAATCGAACATATTTTTAGACTCATGTAAAAATTTTGTAATTAGTCTGGAAACGGGGATCTAATTCTTGCATTCTGTGAAAACAGGTAAGATTGGCTATAATGTAATTATCTTAACTTTTACTATCGTTACTATTTGTCTAGCGAAGCGGGTCCTTGCAGCTAGATTATTTAGAAAAACAGTCTTTTATATATAAAGAAAAACTATATTACATACAAATGGACGAACAAATAAAAAGCCAACGAAACGGGTCCTTGCAGCTAGTCAAATATAAAAATAATCATAGATCGCATACCCCACTGTACATAATACGTATATGTTATATTAATTTGTGTTAGTATTATTATTTATTTATTTATTTATAACACAGATGAAAAATGCATTTCTGGAAATGCTCAGCATTGTCACAAACTAATTGCAATTTTTAGTAATAATATAATGATATGTGCTGTACTTTATATATACATGTTATTTAAAAGTAGTTAATTAATAATAACATAAACATTTTGTTAGAAAAGTTTTGCAGTTGTCTTTGTAGATACACACCAACCGAATGTCGAATATCTATCGGGCTAATATATAATATAGCTACACACCAACCGAATACCGAAAATCTATCGGGCTAGTATAAGACTAGTTATTAAATGAATTACCAATTTGGCTCTAGAGGAAAGCGTTAAGCGCCATCTCTTATTAACATTAATAATTATAAACAAAATTAATTAATTTAGAACCGCTGGGAGAAAAAGTTGACCCGGAGCAGGACTCGAACCCACAACTCCTGCTTACCGTGCAGATGCATTGCCAGTTACGCTATCCGGACCTCCAGTCCGATCTCCTCTTCCAGCGTATAGAAGCTAACTATGTAACCATCGACGGTTACATAGTCTCGCCCCAGGCCGATTTTTTCTCCCAGCGGTTCTAAATTATTTAAATTAATTAATTTATTTATAATTATTAATGTTAATAAGAGAGGGCGCCTAACCCTTACCTCTAAAGCTAAATTGGTTACGTAATTCATTTAATAACTAGCCTTAAACTAGCCCGATAGATTTTCGGCATTCGGATAGTGTGTAGCTATATTATATATCGGGTTTAGCGATGTTTGTATATATTACGCCTTGCCAAGGCTTGCGATGGCCGGTTGAGTGCAGTATAGGACGTAGGACGTAGGCAATGAATGTGTCCCCAGCCGGCGTTGTAATAACCGTCGATGGTTACATAGTTAGCTTTTATACGCTGGAAGAAGAGATCGGACTGAAGGTCCGGATAGCGTAACTGGCAACGCATCTGCACGGTAAGCAGGAGTTGTGGGTTCGAGTCCTGCTCCGGGTCAACTTCTTCTCCCAGCGGTTCTAAATTAATTAATTTTGTTTATAATTATTAATGTTAATAAGAGATGGCGCTTAACACTTTCCTCTAGAGCCAAATTGGTTACGTAATTCATTTAATAACTAGCCTTATACTAGCCCGATAGATTTTCGGTATTCGGTTGGTGTAGCTACATTATATATCGGGTTTAACGATGTTTGTTGTTTTTGTAATTACATTATAAGTGCAGTGTGTTTCAAATCAATTAATAAAACGATTTATTAATTTACATAGACGTCTTTGTTAATGTCGATATTGGGAGAGATTCCAATTACTTTCGGTAAAGTGTCGGTGAAAGGAAAGATCGCTTACGCTTCTCAAGAACCTTGGGTATTTAACGCAACAATCAAAGAAAATATCTTGTTCGAAGAAAAATATCAAGAAGAGAAATATAAAAAAATTTTGCATATAACGGCCCTAGAAAAGGTAAGAAAGTGGTTTTAGCTCGTTTTCACAGAAACTTTACATTATTTACGTCGATTGAAAAGAAAAAACTTTCATCACAGCTACAAATAAAACGCAAAGTACTCTTTATATATTTAATTATAGTATCAGAATAAATGTTTACTGAGTTTCTTCTTAGAATGTTGACATCATTTCAATTTAAGATTATTAAAAAGTGTAAATAATATTTTTCAATTTTATATTTCAGTTTGGTTTAAAAAGTGTTTTTTTAAAAACACAAAATATATATCCAATTAAAATTACCAATAATTTCTAAAAAAGGAACTGGTAACATTCAGCTGAAGTCAGACTGTCTGAAATATTATTAAAACAATAAACTCCATTTGACGAAAATTTACAGATGCTCTGTACATGTCAGTTACGTATTTGTGCTATCTGTGCAGAATCTTAAAATTTTTACATTTTCCATACGTTTCACCAATGGTTACTTTTGAATGAGAATGAGTTCTTAAGTTTATCATACACTAGCTGTTACCCGAGAATTTCCCCGCGCTGATTTTGCATGCAAACACCATTTATGTTCAGTATTTCAACAGCCATAGTAATCTATATCTATATCTATATATATATATAAATAGACATGTATATCCCTATATTTCACTTTTCGCACGTGAATGGTGTTTGTATGTGGTAGTAGCCCCAAGTCTCCATTCGTGCATAGGGGTGGTTGCGTCTCGATAGCTATAAGGGTGCGGGAGATATGGGCTTGAAAGTGGTTGAAAGTGGCTTTCTATTTCGAATGTTTTGTTCGAATTTGTTCGAATTAAATTCGAACATAAAATTCGAATATCGGTTCGATTATAGAACGATCGTAAACGTTCCAGAAACGTTGAAAATAGTTCGTTTGACTGGACGTGAACAGGAGACGTTCAAAAATAGAATCGGGACCAGGAAGTGTTAATATAAAGCGGCATGCAAGATTTACAGGCGGTTTTTTGCGCTTTTGTCGGAAATCGAACATATTTTTATGCTCATGTAAAAATTCTGTGGAAACGTCTGGAAACGGGAGACCTAATTCTTGCATTTTGTGAAAACGGGTAAGATTGGCTATAATGTAATTATCTAAATCTTCACTATCGTTACTTTTTGCCCATAAATAAAAACCCAGCGAAGCGGGTCCTTGCAGCTAGTTGTTATATAAAACCTACCGCTAAGAGTGATGACAATCGCTGAGTATCACACGAACTATTTTCAATTCGAACAATTTTTTTAAACATTTACAGTCGTTCTATAATCGAACCAAAATGCAATAACAAATTCGAATTTAAAACGGTTCGAACATTTAGTTAAAAAATCGAAATATATGAAAATATTTATTACGAGGTCTGAAATGTTGTTAATTTAATACACCTAATAACTCAATAAAAACTAAACGTAGTTGAAAACAAAAAATCTCAGCTAAAATATTACAGTAGAACCCGTTCTTCAGGTTAAGCCTTAATTTTCTTCCTCTCCCCTCGCGGGAATTTCGAAAAATCCCTTCTTAGTGTGCGTTTTCACGACATCTCCAAACTGTGTGCAAGATTTCACATCTTTAGGTTCAGAGGTTTGCTCTGGGCGATGATGAATCAATCAGTCAGTCAGTCAGTCAGTCAGTCAGGACAAGTTATTTTATACATTTAGATTAGTTAAATTGTTCTCAGCTCTTCAGATTTCTAATTTTTTTGCATTCGCGTTCAAGCTACTTTTTTGGCTTGCTAGATCACCATTACTTGCTTATTGTTCGTTTCTATGTATTTCAGTCTTCCTGCTTTAGAGTTCGCAACTTTCTTTTTCATTCATTTTATTCACCATGATTTTTGTAACTCAGAGTTTGCGAGTTTTTTTTTTTCGTTATTTATCTTTGCCATCCATTCTTCTGCTGTCAATCTTCTCCTTCATTGATATCCACAATTCATTTTAATTCTTCTGTATTCTTATTTTATAGATTTTCCTGCTTTCCAGCTTTACTTAATATGTTACTGTAAAAGGAAGATAAAGGGTAAAATGAACTTATCCCACTCTGTACCCTATTCAATGTATTAAGTTCACAACGAACGCAACTCATTTCTCACACTGACTTGACCCTCACATGTCACGCCATAACGGTATCGACGCTTTTGCTATTTGCGTGCCAAATAGGGAACAGCGCAGAAATTCTATAGTCTCGAAAAGGTTTCCTCGCTGTCTTTTCTGATTACTAGAAACCTTCATATTCTGTTGTTACTTAAATGCAATAATGTATACATTAAATAAGAAATGGAAAAGCCAAATCATATACAGAAATTAAACTTTATATATTATAGTAATAAAATAGATAAGATTAATAATTAACATAGGAATATTACTTTTAATATTAAGAATAACAAATAAAACGGCAATACTGATATTTGGGACAAAACTATGTCTCAGAGACTTTCACGTTATCATACAAACTTCGACATTAGATCGACGATCGACGTTAGATCAAAGATCGACGTTATCATACAAACTTCGCAGGACTCGGGAACAGCCGGCCGGCGAAAATTCCCGCGGTCGAAGAATTTTCGGTGAAATTAACTTATCCAATGACAAAATTTTTGCCATAGCATGTTGCCCGGTTGAATTTTTGTCGATGCCTAACGAAAATTTCTTGTTTTTGTAAATATAATCCTGGCGATTGTATCATTTGAAATAATTTTTTTATTTTGCACAAACAAAATAAATATATTAATACATGTAAAAACAAAAACAAATTATATTTCTGAAGTTACTTTTATAACGACTAACGCCATCTACTTTCAGAAAGTTTTGATGCTGAAACGAGATATCGCGGGTCAATCGGTCAAGTTCAGCCAGAGAAGTAAATGGGTTTTTTCAAAGATTCGTTTGTCAAAATTCGATTTCGCAAAGTTCACATTTTTAACTTCCCAACCAGCAACCATGCGCAAATCTCGCACTCTTGCCTGTTTTAGAAAGTTGTCACCATTTTGTATTTTAATTTGATCCAGTTCTTGGACCCCCGAATACCTACAAATCCGAATTTTTTTATGTGCTCATGATTTTGGCACCAATACTCTGAGCCAAATTGGAGCTTTTGACATGTCCCCATTATACCTGTAACGTGTGCATTCGTTGACAGCAGCACGATTTAAAAACAAGACATAGTCTTATCAAGAACAAAACGATAAGAAATGTTCAGAACAAATAAATATTACTAAAAGTTATGAAATAGAACCATCTATTGAGAAAGAAAGACCACAAATTAAGCAACAAGCAAACAACCAACATTGCCTACTTTATTAATAAATACAATTCGTTTACATTTTCTAATGTTATATTGAATATTAATAAAAATTCTGTTTACTTAAAATAAAGTTGTAAATGCAGATTATGTAAAATATAATTATCTTGTATTTATATTTATTTATATTTTTATGTGTTTTAGGATATAAGCTTATTTCCTAAAGGAGATCTGACTGTTGTAGGAGAAAGAGGAGTGATAATGAGCGGTGGGCAAAAGGCAAGAATTAATTTAGCAAGGTAAATCAGACTGTTTCCTAATGTTACAGTAGCATGATTGCAAAACACAGATTGCATTCTTAATGGGAATAAGATAGATTAACTCTAATCAAAACATTTTACAAATTTGAAGTTAAGCTTGTGTGTTTATATTGTTTTTTAATTTAAGTTTTAATTTCTGACAACAAAGATTATACAAAAAATCTAGTAACTAGTTTCGTAACTTTCCTGGCTGTTATAAATTTTTACTAAAAAGAAGACTATCATGCACAAAATAGAATTCTATGTGTCACCATCTCTTATCAGATTTTCTTTTAATTTTTTTTTATATTTAATTACTATAAAATCGCAATAAGCTCAATTTGATAGTAGCAGTGAGAATCTTTTAAAAGAGTGTAAATGGTAATAACAAAAAAAAATTTTATAAAGTCTTACCTTTGTCATTATACACGACGCTCTCTATCTCTCTATTCTTAATTAAATTCTTAGATACTGACAACAAACATTCTTAAAACAGTTACATTACTTTATTTACTTTCAGATTGATTGAGTATGAATTGTCAATTCTTTTCCTGTTGCACCCATATGCATTGTAAAGAACAGAGAGGTGTAATAATTCATAAATTTAGAAAAAGTTACTGCGTGAAAATAAGGAAATTAAAACTTTTTAGCGTATCAGATTAAATCGCTTTAGATTGGTTACTGGTGTTTTGTAATCTTACTTTTTCTGACATACTTCATTTCCTAACGCCTGATTTTTTCTTCCTGCTCTTAAAATGCCATATTCAAAATTATTATATACTAGCTTACCCGTCGTGCATTGCTGCGATCTCAGAAGAAAGGAAATTCAAGCAAACTCGTTATGATAAAATTCAATTTACATTTTATCATTTTTATTGAAACTTATTATTATTATTCATTTTCATCGGGAAAACATTTCAAAGTGTCGTTTCAATTCTATTTATTTATTGGAGTGTTTGTGGATACACGATATTTTTTGTTTTTCCGTCTGGTGCGTACACGAATAAATCGGAAGGTTTTCCGACGCGTGAGCCGGCCACATACAGTTGTCCATGCGAGAAGCACGGATTCTCCAAATTTAGCCCATACACTCGCAGCGATTGTCAGAAGTGCGATATTCCCCATTTTTATATATATATTTTTTAATCCTTTATAATTTTAATTATTTAATTGCTCCTTCCTCTCTTCCTTGGCATGTTGTGAAATTTCTGATAGTTGGATAATAAACCGTTTTATTTTAATTTGTCTTTTTAAATTATGTTGAGTCGATATTAAAATTCGGAAAAGGGGAATCCCTAGATCGGTAAAATAGGCAAATTTCTTTTTACAACTCCGGTTGTTGTTCGTGGTACAGTCGAAGTTTTAACGAAGTTCGAGCGAATACATAATTAGCAAAAAAAGTTGAAATAAAGTGATTAAAAAAATTATTACAAATATCGTAAATAACAGTTCACAAATGCATATATAGAGATCTTTTCTGAAGGGGGAAAATGGTCTTCTCTATTTGAAATCGATCGAACACACAGTATAAACGCACACTATCTATCTTAGGATAAATGTACAGTACTATACCAGAAACCTTCGCGGAAGTGTATTAAACAACTTCCCAAAGTTTCATGGCAATCGGATAAACGGTGTGGTAATGCATGAAGGACAGACAGTCGAACTGACGAACAGACAGACAAACATACATTCATTTATATATATATATAGATTAGAAGAAAGCCCATTTTCTGTTTTAATGTAAAAACGATAACTTTTCCAAATTTCTTAATTACTTACTAACAATTTACTGATACATCCTAACATGGTATAGATTATAAGCTACTGTAAAGATAAAACAAAATATTCGGAAAAAAATAATCAAAATATATAAAAATAGATGAAGGTTTGTTCCTGTGCTCGTGAAATGTTTCCTTGTACATTTATTTTTCCGGAATGTTGTGTCTTTCTTTTTTTTAGAGCACTGTATATAGACGCCGATATCTTCCTCCTTGACGATCCATTAAGTGCTGTTGACGTTCCAGTGGCAAAACATATATTCGAAAAGTAAATATTTAAAAGTAATATTACATACATTTTTTATGTATTTTAACGTTTTGTTTATTTCAGATGTATAACGGAATATTTGAAAGACAAGATTTGCGTTCTCGTTACACATCAAATACAATTTTTAAACTCTTCGAGTAAAATTTTAGTGTTAAACAAGGTGAATATATTAATTGTTTACTTTTATTTTTTTTCTAATTATTTTTGAAAATAAAGAACAACAAAAAGTATCTAGACATCATGATCCCGCTTAAAATATGTCTTGTCACTCAGGCCGCCTCACTCAGGCCGCCTCCATAAACAAATACAGAAGTTTATTAACAAAAAATGTAAACATAAAAACCATTTTTATCACAATAAATAACACCATCACAAATACAGTTCTTGTGCTTTAATTTGTTGTTTGTTTAACGTATCATCACTTTTCACCCACATGAAAAAAATATATATGTATATATACAACTAGTGAATTATCAGAAATTTGTTTAAAATTTATATACAGTAGTACAATTTTCTTACTTTATACCACTATTTTGTACGAATGTGTTTTCGTTTAATTTATTTTTTTTCAGCTGTAGTTCAAGTGTCTTGAATTGATTGCAGAGCATTTTTCAGTAGCATAGCTCCTTCGATCATTTTCCACACATTTGTTGCTTTTAACAAAACCTGAGTTGTAAATTTCCATGTTTGATAATTCGGAGTTACCAACGCTATAGTTAAAGAAAACTTGTACTTTTGCCCATCTTTACGGTTTTTCTACCGTACTTTGACCCTATTACATATGTTTTTCATATCTTCCTCTTTTTTTGTAAACTTATGGAGTACTGAAATTGAAAATATTAGCATTTATTTTAAAACTTTAATAAATTAATATGCCTGGGCCTATAATCAACTGGTGAAGAAATATCTCTATCATTTTCTGAAAAACCTGCCAAACAATTTTCTGTCAAGTAAATTATATAAACAAAAATACTGAACATACAAATAATTTTTGATAGAATATAAAATATATTTATTTGTTTATATTTTGTGTTTTTATGTATTAATAAGACGAAAACAATTGTATATATATATATTATTGTATTATTGTTTCAGAGAAGGTGTGAATTAATTGGGAATTACAACGAACTGAAAAATTTAGAAATGCTTACAGGAATATCAAATCAGGAAATTGCTGAAAATAGCATTGACTTAGAGACTGCACTTTTCAATAAGAATGAAATACTTGATAATACTCAATTTACTATCTTTGATACGAACAACGGTGATGAGGTAAGAATTATTTATTAAACAATAATGTTGGTATATAAACAGCTTGCTGTATGGTATTGTTACGAGCTATGGGGCTCGGGATATAAATTTAGAACACAGTTTACCGAAACTGACGCTTTTACTTAGATACACTAAAAAACAAAAACATTATATAACTCGTTAAAAGAAAAAAAAACAAATCTTCTTCAACGTCCTAATTTTTGGAACTCTTCTTTTTTTTTCAAAAACATTCTTTTTTGTTTTTCGCCACTCTCCGCATCATGGTGCTAGTCTTTTTTTAGAGCCGACGCAACACTGCCCTCCTCTTAAGGCATGCTCGTCCCGAGCATCGTTAGATCCATAGTACCGCGCCAAACGATCCACATGAACAATCTTAGGTGCAGTTCTTGACCTCTTCTGTATTCGGTAGGTGACATCGTTAATTCTAGTCACGACACGATATGGCCCGTCCCACTTCGGCTGTAATTTAGGGGACTTCCCCTTGCTGCGCGCAGGGTTATGTAACCACACTATGAAACCCTCTTCGAAGCCTTGATTGTTCACCTTGCGGTCATATCGGGTCTTCATCTTTTCAGACATTTGTTGACCTGACTGTCGGATGTGGTCATATACGTCATTCATCTTATGACGTAAATCGTCCGCATAGTCAGTCATGCTACGTGGACTATCAGGCGGGGTACCGGTAATTAAATCTGCGGGCAATCGTAGTTCTCTTCCAAAGTTTGCAAAGGCTGGCGTCACAGACGTACTTTCATGGACCGCGCTTCGGTATGCCAACAAAAATGGTTGAATGTGTTTGTCCCAGTCTCGTTGCCGAGTCTCTATGACTTTTGCCAGGTACCTTTCCAACGTCTGATTAAATCGTTCCACCATCCCGTCGGATTGTGGATGATACGAGGTGGTTCTGGTTTTGTGGGTACCCATCACACGGCATGTCTCCCGAAATATTTGGGACTCGAAATTCCTGCCTGATCACTGTGAATCTCTAAAGGTACTCCAAACCGACAGAATACTTCGTGGACTAATTTATCGGCCACAGTTACAGCTTCTTGGTTGGGAATGGCGAAAACCTGTGGCCATTTAGTAAAGTAGTCCATGGCAACCCTGAAGTACCGGTTTCTATTTTCACTTTCAAGAAACGTTCCCACAACATCTAACGCTATTCGTTCCCATGGAGCTCCAACATTGTACACCCTTAATGCACCTCTACTGCGAGTTTGAGGTCCCTTCACGGCCGCACAACTGGTACATCTGCGGCACCATTCTTCCACATCATCACGACAGTGGATTCAATAAAATCTCTTGGGGATTTTCGGTAAGGTTCTCTTCACCCCCATATGGCCTCTGGAGCAGTCGTCGTGGTACAGTTTTAGGACCTCTGGAACTTTTCCTTTGGGAACAACCATTTGCAGATGGTAGCTGTCCCCTTGGGTATTTTCCCATTTACGGCACAATATCTCATCCTGTATGGTCAAGCTGTCCCATTGTGCCCAGTAGCTCTGTAACTGGACTCATAGCTGCAACATCGCTCCAGTTAGGCCTAGGAGCATCAGCCTTCAACCATTCGAGGATCGGCTTAATGTGTGCGTCTTTTTCCTGAGCCTTTTGTAAAGTTTCCTTCCACTCGTTACCGATCTCCATTTTCAGCATTTGCACAAAACAATTTCTTTAGCCTCTTGTCTGACACAGTGCATACAGTCATCCACACAAGGTTTTCTCGACAAGCTGTCAGCATTAACATGCATTTTTCCTTTACGATGTTCAATCACGATGTCATACTCCTGTAGCAGCTCTATCCACCTTGCTACTTGTCCTTCTAGATTCTTGAAATGCAAAAGCCACTTTAACGCAGCATGGTCTGTATGCAAGCGCAATCTTCGTCCAAGCAAGTAGTTGCTAAAATGTTGCAAGGTTTTAACTACGGCAAGTAATTCCCTTCTCGTCACGCAGTAATTTCTTTTCGGTTTGGATAAGACTTTGCTGAAGTAGGCTATAACCAATTCTTGATCTCTTTTTCGTTGAGACAAAACTCCGCCAATCCCCATGTTACTCACATCTGTGTCAACTACAAAGTCATTTCCAGTGTCAGGGTAGCCCAAAATTGGCGTGTTGCACAGACGCTCCATTAATTCCTGGAATGCAATATCACGATCCTCGTCCCAGCAGAATTGTGTGTTCTCTTCAGTAAGTTTATGCAGTGGTTTGGCAATATCAGCAAAATCCATCACAAACCGACGATAGTAGGAGCATAGGCCCAAGAAAGCTCTAACTCTTGTTTTGTCATTTGGAACTGGCCAATCTTTTACGGCAACGATTTTATTTGGGTCTGTCTGCACTCCCTTTTCCGAGACATGTCCCAAAAATTTAACTTGCCGTCTAAAGAAGGCGCATTTTTTCGGGCTCAATTTGAGATTAGCTTGTCGTATTTTCAATAACACTCGTTCCAGGTTTCGAAGATTATCCTCAAATGTGCGGCCCACGATAATTATATCATCCAAATAGACAAGACAGGCATCCCCACTCAATCCAGTGAGTACTAGCTCCATAAGTCTTTCGAAAGTAGCTGGGGCATTGCACAGCCCAAAGGACATGACCTTGAATTGCCACAAACCCTTTCCTGTGGAAAATGCAGTCTTCTCTTTGTCTCTAGGGTCTATTTCCACCTACCAGTAGCCACTTTTTAGGTCCAGGGTAGTGAACCACTTCATTCCTGTCAGCATATCCAATGTGTTGTCGATCCTTGGCAGTGGATAGCTGTCCTTCTTCGTAACGTTGTTCAGTCGACAATAGTCCACACAGAAACGCATGCTGCCATCATTCTTCTTTACCAGGACCACAAGTGTACACCATGGACTAGATAAGGGCTCTATAATGCCATTCCTTACCAATCCCTGAATCATGGCATCCACCTCTTGTTCACGTGCCATCGGTGGCCTTCTCGGTTGCTGACAGATTGGTAACTCATTCCCTGTATTTATTTTGTGCCGAACCAATCCCGTCTTCCCTATATCAGCGTTGCTTGACAAGAAAATGTCGGCATATCGAAGCAACATCTTTTTACCTTTGTTTAGTTCCTCTTCCGACAAATCCTTACGACATTCCTCCAGAAGCATTGACACATTGATCGCGGAATGTTTCATGTTGGTCGCAGTAGGTTGTTCTTGGCATTTAGGCATCCAAGCAACTTCTTCACAGGTGCCCATTAAAGTGCCTTTTCCAACAACCTGTTCTCTATCACTTGGATTTAGAACACGTACTGCCGAAACGTTAGTGGCCCTCACCAAGGTTCGAGCCATCTTCCATGGTAAACTGCTGTCTAAACCTTCTACAAGGACACAACGATTCTTCTGACCAGCTTTATCTGGTAGTCTAACTGGTATGATAGTTTCTGATCTTGGGGGAAGAACAATCTTATTTAAGCAGCGCACTTTACCCGATGATGCACCGTCCATAAAATGTTCTGCTGAATTGCATTTTAAGATTTCCTGCTTGACATCAATCTCACAATAATGTTCCTTCATAAAGTCTAAGCCCAGAATGCAATCGTCCCTTATATCGGCAATGATAACCTTATGCCGATAAATCTTGTTGCCTAGTTGCAATTCCACCTCCTTCTCGCCTCGGACGGATATGTGCTGACCGGTCGCTGTTATAAGACGAATACGATCATGTCCACTGAAGTAGTCCCCAAGAAACTGATTTGCCAGTCGAGAACTGATGACCGTGCGAGAAGCTCCAGTGTCCAATGTCAGCTTACATGGTGTTCCGTTAATTTCGCCTTGAATAGTCAGGCTATTTCCATCGTGGGCTTGGGAGATCGAGATTTCTCGGGCTTTCTCAAAACCAGCCAGCACTCGCCCCACAGTCCTGGCACTTACTCGTTTCCCTGCTGCCACTGCAGCTGGGTGGTGGTATCAGTCACCTTTAGCTTCTGAAGTCCATCCTCCTTTCGGTCTCTTCCAAAGTGCCCTCGCTTTGGGCAATTCATCTGCAGGTGTTCCCTGGCTTTACAGTAGTAACACTGGGGACCTGTCATTACAACTTCCCTAGCATGATGGGATCGATCATCGTGTCTTACTGCCTCCACCTCCAAAGCATGGGCCAAAGCATTCTTTAGAGTTTCATGATGTCCCAATCTGACAGCTGCTCGAACTTCTACATCTCGTATTCCATCTATGAATGCTTGTACAAGTAGTCCCTCAACCAATGCAGGTGAAGGCTGATACGCTTTTCGGACCAGCTTTTCAACTTCCAGTGCCCAGCACTGTAGAGTCGCGGCACTACGTTGCGCACGGTCATTAAGCTCCGCCCAATACACGTGCTCAAGATGCTTGTCTCCATATCTGGTCTCCAATGCTTCCACCAGTTGGTCATAAGTGACATCCTTACTGAGGGCTTCTAGTATAGTCAAGGCCTGATCGCGGAGGGCCAACGTGAGTGCTGTCATGGACTGTGCTTTAGTCCATCCATTCATCCTCACCACGGCTTCAAACTGAATTTTATAAGCAGACAATGAAGATGTTTTGTCGAAAGGTCTCAGATATGAGCTTGACCAAAGCTTTCTCAACATCTGTAATCTTCACTTCAGCTTTGGAAATTCGATTCTCATGCTGTTGTACCTGCTCTTCATGGTGCTCAACCTGCTCCTTGATTACCTTTAAATCGCTGCTAATCGTTGCATGCAGTTCCTTCAGTTGACGTGCCTGCTCTTCTTGCATATTTTTCAACTAATTGGTCTGCTCTTGCAACGCCGCCAACAATACAGATAAGTCAAGCATAGCCGGTGCTGGAGTAGCGTCAGTGGTGCTGGCAGTTAAAACAGAGTCAGTTGTTTGCTGACCATCTAATGTCCAATCAGAAGATTCACTAAAACGTCGCTGATCCATCGCCTGTTGTCTCTGTTGACTTCGTGTACGAATTCCTTCAGTGTCTTCTTTCGGCATAACTGGAATGATTTACATCGCACTCCTGACACCAATTTGTTACGAGCTATGGGGCTCGGGATATAAATTCAGAACACAGTTTACCGAAACTGACACTTTTACTTAGATACACTAAAAAACAAAAACGTTATATAACTCGTTAAAAGAAAAAAAAAACAAATCTTATCCAACGTCCTAATTTTTCGAACTCTTTATTTCCTTTTCTTTTTCAAAAACATTGTTTTTTGTTTTGCCACTCTCCGCATCATGGTGCTAGTCTTTTTTTAGATCCGGCGCGACAGTATATTACAAATGTGAATCCGTCTCTATAATCCAAAACCACACTTTGGTAGACGTATCTCACAGCAATTTCTGGTTAGCAAATTATTTTTTATTTACCATTGAACTACAAATATATTTCGGGTTGGTATAATGTACTCCAACCCCTCCTCAGTGATTTTCTCATTATGTAAATTACAAAAAATTTTTTTTGTTTTTTGCTCAAAATAGAGAGTGGGAGGGCAAACCTTCCTCATCCTTAACAATCATTTAAATTTTTTACGCATGGGTATATAACAGACTATAAAAATTGACATACGTATGTAAAAGTTTTTTATACACAAACAATATTATTAAAATTATACCAGTAGAGGAGAAGGTGCTATTATGGAACCCCAATTACATTTCAGTGAATTGTAAACAAGGTATCATAACTACACCCATATTTTTTGTGTGAAAAGTACTAGTAATTAGTAATCTAAATGTTCCTAATTGGATTTTTCGCTAGTGTAACTATAAGTATGGTTTTTGAAGGCTTTTGTACAAAAAGTCCGAAAGTAGGCTTAGAGAAAATCGGATGGTAATATAGAACCTTACTGTATATTTTCAAAAAAAATTACTTTAATGTAGCCAAAAACAAATAGGAAAGGACAAAAAATGTTAAATAATTACCAAATTATTTACTCCAATGTATTTTATCGAAAAAATGCTTTTNACTGATACTAGTATAATTTTAATAATATTCTTTGTGTATAAAAAACTTTTGCATAATACAGATGAATAATAAACGCAGTAAATATACTTTTCAATTCAAGTATATTTACTGCGTTTAATATTCATCAGATGTCGTTGATAATGACTTATTCTGATGTATTTTTATTATTATTTCATTTGTAATTTTTATTGTTTTTATGTGGTAAGAAGTATTCAAAATAACACTTAATGATTTTTTGAATCGAGAGTAAGGTATTTTATTTACAATTATATAAAACTGTATCTTTAATTTTTTTATTTGCAATAGATCTATAATAATATTTTTTATCCTATTTAAGCATACTTCCGTGTATAATTTACATAATTTTTGAAATTATTTCGTACAGGATGCTGATAATAAGCAAACTCCACGTGATGATGAAGAACACAAAGAAGTCAAAATTTCAGTTTATAAATCATACGTCAATGCAGGAGCGGGTGTTCTCTTCAAGATTATTTTATTAATAATGCTAGTTGTATCTCAATCCATTATAAGTGCCAGTGACTATTGGATCATCAAATGGTATGCTGTCATTACAGTTAATTAGTTTAACTTTTCAGTTGTGAATCATAAAACCACACGTCATTTTTTGTATTTCTTATGTATTGAAAGTTTGTTTGAAAATTTAAAAATCACTATACTCGTAACTCTTCTTACAACATTCTGTTGAACATTTTTGCAGCACACGTGTAATTTTGAACGAAAAAATGCTTGGGGATGCGAGACCCAACAGAACAAAAAGCGTAGTGCAAAATTTTTTTTAAAACTTTAGACCCCCTTATAAAACGGGTTCATATAATTCGAATTCGTATATAACGGCAAAAAATTGCGATAATAAAACACGTTTAAACATTCGTATAAAATTCGTATAAACACGCTAAAAGAAACTCAAAAGAAACTTGTATAATTCGGTAAAACGTCATCGCCTACTCGTGTCGCGACAGGATTGGTCCAATCTAGACCAATAGCGGATATTGCACGAACCGTTGAGTTTAAACGAGTAGCGGAACTACGAAAAACCATTTATTATTTAACGTCCATAAAAATTATATTTATATTAATGATGTCTTTAAAGTTCAGCAAATTTTTCGCAGAAAAATAATTTATCAGGAAACACGCGCCCCGTTCGATGAGCCGCTCCGCGACAAAAACAAGCTTAACCGATGGCGTCGTCAAACTGTGCACACTCGGTACGTAATCCTACAATTTTTTGTTTATAGCATAGTTTATATGGATTATTTCCATAAAATTATACGTGCTTTGGAAATGTTGAATCAAATTAGTCTAGAATTGATTAATTTTATGAAAGAAAACCTTTCAAAGAGACGTAGTCCATAAACTGCATACGTGCCAGGCTGTGATTGGTTCATGTAATTAAGGACTCGTAAAACATGAATTTTATAAAAAAAACGAAACGTATCTTTCGTGTTATAGGGAGGGCTACTGTATCTGCTTATTAATTAGGCATACAAGATATTACTTTAATATTCGTTTAAATGTTTTGTTGAAATAGTTTCAATTTTTCTAATCACGTTGATGTTTTTAATGATGTCCATTTATAGGAAAAGATTTTTTAAAGTACAATTTATACATATTAAACACTCATACATATTTTTACACATTAAGGTGTTTTAAGGTCCATATGTTCTGATGTATTTCCAAACTTATGCAAGATTTGTTTTTTTCATAATTACTCCTGGATGGTGTGGTATGGATTAAAATTAAAATTACATAAAATCATAATTTTTATGAAATTATAATTTTTAAAATCAACTTAAGATTGCAAATAAAAATTTGCTGAATGGAATTATTTCAGATCACAAAATTCATTTTTCGATCACAAAGCTTAATTAAATTAATTTTATTTTAACAATAAGACTGTATTAATTATTAAATGTTTTAGAAATTTGAATTAAATTAATTTTATTTTAACAACAAAGAAAGCTTTGGTATTAATTATTAAATGTTTTAATATCTGGGAAAATTAAAACACGAAAATTGTGTGAAATAATATAACAACTTAATGATTTTTTTATTTTAACATGAATAGATTAAATAACTTTTTTTAAGCTTTTCCAGTTTTTTCATTCAGTTTATTTAAAGCAAGATATATTTATGCACGTAATAATTTTAAAATTAATTTTTTAGGAGAAATAATTATTTCAGTTCAAAAATTTCTCGAGTAAATTAAGATTATAAATAAATTTATTATTTAGGAAACTTTTCAATTTATTTCTTAAAAAAATTTATATATTTAGAAAACTTTTCAGTTTAATTCATTGCTTCATATAAAATTAATATGCGATAATAATTTTTACAATTTGTTCTAATACGCAAGTAAAATAAAACACGAAAACTTAAAATAATATTATAACAAAAAGGCAAATTAAAATAGGGAAATAGTTCAATATAATAATTATTTAAATTATATTTGTAACTTATTTATTAAATATCGTAAAAAGAACAATGCTTTTTAAAATATTTGTGGTAATAACAAATCTTTTAATATTATTCAATTATAGACACTAAAAGAAATTCGATGTCTAAGTGATGGTAGTTTTGGTTTTTAAAAAGTTTTTTGTCTATAAAATTTAATCTGTGAACTTTTCTTGCTATAAAATAGGGGAGATCGGGGCAACTTCGGCATGTGGGGCAAGTTTGTCAAGCGCTTTTTTTTAAAAACAAATTAAAAGGAGAGTTTGGTTATAAGTTAGGCAGTTGAGTTTTATTGGTGGCTTGTTGAGTGTAGTGTTTTTATTGTTCTCCAACAAGCGTAGTTGAATTATCAAGCAAATTTTCATTTTCGTTCAATTCCATATAATATTTTTTTTCCATTTATATTGAATTGGCAGGTTTTGTTATAATTCCATGATAACGAAAGTTACTTTTCCTGTTAGAAGGATGTAACTTCAACTTATTCACGTGGCCAGATCGTGGCTTGGCATTCTGTTCTCAGGGTTGTACTTAATGTTTCGAAATCATGACTAGCGGGGTAAGATCGGCAACATAAAGCCACATTAGAAGCAAAGGATAAAAATCAAACAGATGATAAATGAAAACATGTTTGCATTTGTTATTCATGTATATATGTCTTTGAACTTGCATTTCGTTGTAATAATATTAAATGGGTGTTGGATTTGTATTTCTTTGTTTTAATAGTGAATTCCAACTTATACATTGTTAATAACATAATTTTATATACGTGCCTATCTTGCCCCATTACTGTTGCCCCTATACCAGGGGCAACTTTAATAAAAATAATTAAAATAATTACAACTTTACAAAAAGAGAGAAGTTGCCGATCTTGCCCCTATACCCGGGGCAACTTCGTCAATTTCTCTCTTCTTGTAAAGTTGTAATTATTTTAGTTATTTTTATTTTCAAACTGATTTTAACCAGTTCTATAGTAAGGTAACATTCCAATAGACAATATGCAAAGCTTTTTTTTCAGTTTACAGCAGTATTTATTACACAAAATTTAAGTAAAGCTTAACATGCCGATCTTGCCCCGGTCTCTTCTAATCTTGCTATAATTTTTCTTACGATTGTTAATATTGTAAAAGATATGACGGTATCCTTGTGTAGAGCTACTTTTTTTTTAAAATGATACATGGAATGTGTCACCAGTAACTTGGTGACAAGAAATTGCTATTGGACATAGCCGTGGCTACAATGCCGAAAACAGTCAATAGAGAAAATAAAGAAAACCCCAATAAAAGACAACGACTGATGGCGACAGGGGGTTTATCTATCTGACAAAAGGGTTCGTTCGTCTGACGAAGAGTTTGTTCAACCGAGGAGTCCGTGATCATCGAAAGTTTGCCCTCGCCAGAGTTGCCCAAGCGCTAAAATACTTTACCCAACTATTTGACTTTCATCCTTCCAAAGATTTATCCATAGATGCATTTTTACTCCATCAATCCGTAAAATCGTAAACTCCATCATGAGAATGCGCTCTCGTATGAACAACACATTCTCAGATATTTTACCAGGTATCTATGTAAACGCTATGTAAACTTTATCTCCTCAACTTAGAACTCGCGAATTAGTTAATATCGTGGACATAGCCTTTATTACAAAATATTAACCTTAAGAAAATAAGAAGCAAATAAGCATAATGTCCAACCCTTCAATAGTAAACCGTATATCTTTTGATTACAGTATTCGTCAATAGCTTGATAAACGGACATTTGTGATTGTTAGAATTGTGTATGATGCACTTTCTTAAACCCGTGCCGTCTCTCCTGTTGCCTTTATCCTGGATCAAAGTGCCTACAAACGCTGCCGCTTGCGTAAAATCGAAATTAGCGGCCATTAAAGTTTCTGTGTCTTTCCTAAAAGACACAGTAGTGTCAGTCATAATAAACTTTGTCATTGCAAACGCGTTGTCGACTCATCGATCCCGTGGTGTCGAAGCATAGGGGCACTTCGCGCATTGTCACAATTGTATATTGGTTTTTCGGGGTAGAGGAATGTTTCATTTTAATCTCTAGCTTTATAGCAATTCATTTTAACATCTGCCTTTTCTGCAGTTTGATGAAATATCAAAAAGTTGAGAGAGTTCACGAATAATTCCATGCGAACCTTATCTTCAATAGCTTCACTTGCATAGTTATAAATATTTACGACGTGCATTCTGCGTGCATTCTATTCATATCTACGACGTGATAAATTATATTCTTAAATTTTTTGTGAAATTTTCCATGCGTTTCATGAGATGTATAACTTTTACTTTAGCATTATTTAATGCTTTTATTACTTTACTTAGGGGAGATCGGGGCAAGATCGGCATGTTAAGCTTTACTTAAATTTTGTGTAATAAATACTGCAGTAAACTGAAAAAAAAGCTTTGCATATTGTCTATTGGAATGTTACCTTACTATAGAACTGGTTAAAATCAGTTTGGAAATAAAAATAATTAAAATAATTACAACTTTACAAGAAGAGAGAAATTGACGAAGTTGCCCCGGGTATAGGGGCAAGATCGGCAACTTCTCTCTTTTTGTAAAGTTGTAATTATTTTAATTATTTTTATTAAAGTTGCCCCTGGTATAGGGGCAACAGTAATGGGGCAAGATAGGCACGTATATAAAATTATGTTATTAACAATGTATAAGTTGGAATTCACTATTAAAACAAAGAAATACAAATCCAACACCCATTTAATATTATTACAACGAAATGCAAGTTCAAAGACATATATACATGAATAACAAATGCAAACATGTTTTCATTTATCATCTGTTTGATTTTTATCCTTTGCTTCTAATGTGGCTTTATGTTGCCGATCTTACCCCGCTAGTCATGATTTCGAAACATTAAGTACAACCCTGAGAACAGAATGCCAAGCCACGATCTGGCCACGTGAATAAGTTGAAGTTACATCCTTCTAACAGGAAAAGTAACTTTCGTTATCATGGAATTATAACAAAACCTGCCAATTCAATATAAATGGAAAAAAAATATTATATGGAATTGAACGAAAATGAAAATTTGCTTGATAATTCAACTACGCTTGTTGGAGAACAATAAAAACACTACACTCAACAAGCCACCAATAAAACTCAACTGCCTAACCTATAACCAAAGTCTCCTTTTAATTTGTTTTTTAAAAAAAGCTCTTGACAAACTTGCCCCGCATGCCGAAGTTGCCCCGATCTCCCCTATATACTTATTATATACTATATTATTACTTTTCTTGTTAAAATTGATTATATATCAATTTTGACAAAGTACTAAAAAATTTAAAAATTAGACTGTTATTTTATGTTTAATTTTCAGGCTACAAGATATAAAAATTTATAGCCAAAGTAAAAAGGAAATAGAAGGTATTACATCTAACACAACAGTCTCTAACCATATTGAAGGCAGAAATTTTCAACAGAGTAACAAATTCAACGTATATGTATATTTTGGATTGATATGTGCAGTGTGTTTCACCATGTTACTCACGGGTTCACTATTCTTGAAATTCTTTACAGCTGCATCTACCAAACTTCATAACAAAATGTTCCGTTGTATTATTCGAACTCCAATATCATTTTTGGACAATAATCCTGTTGGTATGTAAGAATATTTAAGTCATTTTAGGCTAAAATTCTTCTGACCTAATACAGAAAAAATAATTATTTAGATAAAATTAAAATAATGTAAATAAATACGCTTGCTTGCATTTTCATTTTACACGCAAAACTTTCATGTTTTTTATGATATTATAGATATTCGTCATCTGTTACAGAGTATAAAATTTCATAAAACTCTGAGAAATAAAGTACCATTCTACCTTCTCACACACTTCAACATGCTATTGAAATGTATTGTAGTAGGCAAGTATTTTCATGTAGAATTGTGATGCTCTGTTTCCAGCTAAGTTAGTTCGTGAGTCTCAATAAATTATTGTTATTATTTTTTTTTGAGCTGCAATTTGAAGAAATTGTAAGCCTATAAATTTATACTGGCGTTTTTGTCTGACTGTCTATCCTAACTCTCGAAATTGGAGTTAGATAAATGAAAGTCAAGACCAGATATTCAATCGGTAACCATAAGCTGCTTCGATTAACTATACACTAACTTTCGATACACACCGGAGGTCAGTTATTTCAATTTAAATCTTTTTTTTCTGAAAAGAGTTAGGTAGATGACCGGCAGGATTGCATTGCTAACAAAAGAGTACTATTACGCGAAGAAGATTACTAATTTCAGGTAGCAAGCATATATTTTAAATGAAATAAATTTAAAATATGATTAAAAATTGCAGCCTGGCATTATGATGATATCACAATAAAATATCGCTTGTTTTCGTTTGTTTGTTTTAATGATATCAATATACGTATTTGTATATAAGTATATAATTTAATCGTTATTTAATATTTTATATTTTTTAGGAAAAGTGTTAAATCGATTTTCTAAAGATGTTAATAACATCGATGATACTTTACCTTTCGCTTCTCACATGTCAATAAGAGTAAGTTTACATTAATTTTGTATATATAAATTTATACTAGTAATAAACAAACTCATTTATGTAATATTGGAGTCGTTAAGACGCTGCTCACTGTCAAGGGTGGCTATTAATTGTTTACCTCATCTTATCCTGAACTAAAGATTAGAAGTTTCTGTCACTGTCAGTCCCGACACCAGTTAGGATAATTCTAAATCTACTCCTCAACTCGCTATTACTTCTATCTGTAAACCGAATTCGAGTGGCATATTCGGAGAATAATGGCTTATACAGAGGGTCGTATTATTATTCGAGTGGTGGAGGAGTCGGGTTGATTTGGGAGAGTGAAAGACTTGCAATTCCCTTTTATGTAAACTACCTACTTATTGAGATATATATATTAAGCATATAATATAGGTATATAGCAGGAGTGGCCAACCTGCGGCTCGCGAGCCACATGCGGCTCTTTGAAGGATTATTTGTGGCTCTCGATAAATGTACCCGAGTTCCCTTTTCATTTTTGTTGTTATATTAAAAAAAATTATTATCATTTCGTATGTGTTTCAAAATGTCTTTTAAATTACTAACAACGAATATGAAAGACTAAGTGCAACGTTGTAACAAATTTCATTTCCGTCCAAGTTAAGAATGATATGACCCATCGAAAACTGTGCGAACGAACATAAACAGTGGCGTAATCGTCCGTTATCGACCGACTTTGAATTTGTAAACTGTCATTGCAACGGACAGTTGACATTGTGCTCTGGAGGAAACAATTTGTATCACTCTTGCTACGGATATAATTTGTAATCTGGAATTTTTGCATACCTTTTTAATATGTATTTAATTGCGGCTCGCGATAAATTTCAATTTTGAAAAATGGCTCGGACTATCAAGGAGCTTGGCCACCCTGGGTATATAGCATAGCAGATACATAATTATGGTTTATAAAAAAAAGGCTATGGTGACACTTGAAAGTAACTATTGACTAACACTTTGTCAATTGCTGACTGAAAGAGCTTACAAATATTATTACCTGGAGCTTTGTGAGGGAACAAATATTTTTTTTGGGGAGCAACATTTTTGTCTTAGCAGCCTGAAACTATTTCGGCATGGGTCACCCTGCCGTAATAGTTAGTTGACCGAAAGCAGCACTAAGTCTAAATGCTGTCCCCTGATATAGAAATTATGCTGGCCAATCTANAATAGTTAGTTGACCGAAAGCAGCACTAAGTCTAAATGCTGTCCCCTGATATAGAAATTATGCTGGCCAATCTATTTTCCTCCTGATATGGTCATATTCAAAGTGAATTTTCATTTAACTAAAACTACACATCTGCAAAATAAAACTACACATCTGCACATATTGATAAATTTTTATTTGTTCCGTTTTATCAA